GCCGTAAATCCCATAAATGATGAATATTTTTAGTTTTGAAAAAATTAGGGTTTTCTTCTAATATAAACTTTTTTATCTTTGTTCTTAATTATTTGTTACTGCTTAAGACAAAAATGATCCTCTGAAGAAAAAAAAAGAAAAAAAATTACCATTGGCTAGAATGCGTGCCTGCCAGATTACTGACTTGGACGAGAGCGTCTCTCCATTTGAGAACCTTGTCGCTCATTTCTAGAGATTCATCGTATTTTTGAAACGCAGCCTTGAAGCTTCCTATCTGGTATCTCACGTCCGAAGGCTCCACTCCGTAAAAGATGGGAACCACTTCAATCTTATTCTCTTTGTGTAGCTCCATTATCGTTCTGAGCTCTTCTAAACACCAAGTTGAAGTAGCGTGGTTTGCCGAGATGATAATCACAGCGAACCACGAAGTTTTTATAGCTTTGAGGAGCCGGTCGGAAATGTTGTGGCCTACCTCGATCCTCTTATCATCTTTGAAAGTAAAGAGTCCTTTCAAACTAAGAGCTTGGTACAAATGGCTAACGATGGTGTATCGGGTGTCTTTCCCTCGGAAGCTGAGGAAGACATCGTAAGTCCTAACAAGATTTGAAGAGGACGAGGAGGAAGCCATGGAGGAGAGATTTTATGAAATTTCAGTACGTTCAAGAGGTAACCACATATAATGAGAAACGCACTCTTATTCGAATTTCCTTTATAAGTTATCCTCTCGATAATACGGGTCAACGTTCCCTTACATTTTGTAAGATCCACTACCACTTGACCACATCCTTCTTTCTTTTTCTTTGATCAGTTCCATTAAAGGTCACCCACGAATGGCTTCCATGACCCTTTTTAAAAAAAAAAAGAAAAGGGGAATCGGTCGTGACACACTAAAAACCATTTGTATAAAATTTTTGGGATAAAACCCTTGTTTTTATTAGTTCATGTAGCAAATTGCATTAAAGTGGTTGTTAACTTCTTTTTGTTATTTGCATACTCGATCTTATTGGTG